GCAAGTGAGACAGGAACTTGCCTCCTGCTTAGGGTAAGCTCAGGGTCATTGTTGGCTTGGTCAGCAATGCAGTAAATGGAAGTACTTGGATGCTGCAGGTCAGTCAGTCAGTCAGTGACATTTTTCACAGGGAACATTAAAAGTACATGTTTGTCCCATGCTCTTAGTGTAAGAAAACTGAGGCAAACCTCAACTCCAGCTGCTGCCAGCAGCCACCGTATTGGTTCCATTCGGCCTCGTCCATCGAAGTAGTGCAGCTTGGGTTTCCCAGACATGTTTCCACGTGCCGGATAGTTTCTTGCTATTTGGAATAAAGAAACAGGTTTTGCAAAATAAAGATTCAGAATGCTGGGTTTAGGTCTCTAATTGGTCCTAAAATTGTCGTGTATGAAACCAAGGATTTATGGTTCAAGACTTTCCTCAGACTAATAAGGAGGTAGAAGTTAGACTACACTGAGGACCCCATTGTATCAACTTGCCTTAAAAATATCTTAGCATACAGGTTACTGATTCATCAGATACACAGTGTAATTTAGCAATTCCTGTGCTTTCACCAGCTCCAATTCTTCCTTTTCCATGATAAAGGGGCAGAAAGGAATATTTTTCCCTTTTGTAAGCATTCAATCTCTTTTATAACACTCCCTGCTCCAGTAAATTTTTAGACAGGCCGCCAAAGACATAGAAATTAATTTGGTCTCTGATAACATCAGATTTGCCTTTACCACTGGCAGAGCCAAAGGACAGTGCCCTGTTTGGACAATTCCAACTTTGCTGGAATATAAAGCAGCAACAGTTTCTAGGCATGTTCCAGCCACCCCATTCAGAACCATGTGTGCACAGCAGCGGCAAACACGCAGACAGGGCCTGGTTTATACCACCTTCACAGTTATTAACACCGTGTCAATAATAAAGCTAAAGCATTGCCTGCAGCTAAGGGGAAATGGCTAAAACCCACCATAGTCCCCTTTTAAATAATGTATCAGCTTTCCTACAGTAGCAAGAAGGAGATGAGAGGAAACACTCCATACTTCTGAGGTCTACGTTTCTTTTTCTTAATTCTGTACACCTAGAAAGCAGCTGCCTAATATTTTACCATTTCATGCATATAACCATGATAGTAAAGAAAGTACAAACACTTAATCTGTAAAACCCATTCCCTGACTTCGTTTCAAGTACAGTAATTCCCTCTGCATCTCCAAAATCCAAAAAACTTACCTTGTGCACACCGTAACTCACTCTAAACTCTCGGTAGCTTTGACTGGAGAAGTTGTAACTCACTGTAGCCCCTCCCACAAAGGAAGCTGCAAATGGTTCTCTGGGAATGGAAATCTCCTATCTTTTAAGGAAATAAACCCAATTACGTCTGTATAGTTACTTCTCACCTACAGAAAATAAAATCCTGACTAATGCTGACAATGCTGACAAATGGAAGACAGATGAGAGGTCATGATCAGTGGGAGCATCTGTGCCAGCACAAAATGCTAAGCTTCCAATTTTCACTGCTTGGCAACCTGTTAATTAAAAACAGTTGTGATGGCTGAAAAGCTCACCCAGTTTAAAAGAATATTGTTGTCCCAGTCAGACTTTCAGCTAATCTTTGATGGGTTTTTACTTTTAACCGATTGCTGCTTTACATAAGTCACATCAACTAATTCTTCTGGAATCCTTCATAAGCTTCTATCCCGTGCTTAGGCATGGGGATATGCCTTCAGGACATTTCCACAGGATTTCATTCCTGGACATAGAAGGGGTTTTTCTTTTCTTTCTCTGTCCAAAATGTGTCCCAGAATTTGACTTGGCGAAAATGCTCACCAAAGGCAATGATAGGAGACAGTGAATGAAGTACAGCATGAGAACGCAAACTGCCCTCTGCCCTCCTGATGCTTTTTGCTGACAACTGTATTGATTTCAAAAAGTCAATGCAGCATAAACTCCCATGAACCCTCCTGCCTATCTAGCTGGTTAATACTGTTGCAGCCATCACCTGCAGTCAAGGTCAACATCCATACAAAATTCTGCTGAATTGCCCTGAGTGTAATTGCAAGCTGCAATATTTTTCCTGTGTTACACGCGCACCTTGTATCAATTGTAGTGTATCGAATAGAAAACCCCAAGTTGTGTATAGTATGGGGGCTCTCTCCTTCAGGTTCTTCCTG